AGCACGTCATGGAATGGGGAGGAGAAATTGTCCAAGATGACATGTTGCTTGGACAGCATCCTGCTCTCTGACACCACCAGAAAGTCCAGCTCCACTCCCACAATGTCACTGGCCTTCTGGATCCGTTTGTTGAGTCTGTTAGCCTCCGCTACCCTCAATCTGCTGCCCCAGCATGCAACTGCAAACAGGATAGCACTGGCCTCAACAGACTCATAAAACATCCTCAGCATCGTCCGGTAGATGTTGAATGACCTCAGCCTCCTCAGAAAATAGAGACAACTCTGGCCCTTCCAGTAGAGGGCTTGGGTGTTCTTGGCCCAGTCCAGTTTGTCATGTTGAGCTGCTGATGGTTCTGCTCGCACCATGTGACAAAGTCACCCACCACAGCCCTGTACTCAGTCTCATCACCCTTGCTGATACATCCAACCACAGCAGAGTCATCAGAATACTTCTGAAGATGGCAGGACTCTGTGTGGTAGTTGAAGTCTGTGGTGTAGATGGTGAGGAGAAAGGGAGAGAGGACAGTCCCCAGCGGGACCTCCGGTGTTGCTGACCACGCTGTCTAACCGGCTAAAGGGTGTTGAAAGCACTGGAGAAGTGAAAAATACATGACCGTCATTGTGCTCGCCGGCTTGTCCAGGAGGGTGTAAATCCGGTTGAGCCGGTTTATGGGGTCCTCAACTCCCAGTAGGTGCTGGTACGCAAACTGGAGGGGGTCCAGAAGAGCATGAGCAAGACCATGGGCCGCAGATGATCCAGAACCAGTCCTTGGTTATCCACAGTTTGTTATTTGAGTAACAATGGACAGTTTTTGTTGTGACAGTGCAGTCCACACAGAAGTTAGTCTGTGATGCACTCAGTAAGCGTATCTAATCTATGTCCTTTCCATGTGGCCCACAGAGTGCATCCCAGTCTGCCACTTTAAAACCTCGAAGTAATATGGAAAGCCAAAACGAAGGTTCCGATATGGTAACCCTAGTTCTATAAGCACATGCGGAGCCCTCTACTGGACTCTATGGGTACTACCTCCTCCAATCACAAGCACGCACTTGCCCAGTAAATTTTTATTGTGCACGTAGCCGACCAATAGGACATCGCTACCGATATGTGCTTGACGTATAAATAGTAGTGTTCCTACTGCCTCATCATCTGACCACCTCTTCAGCATATGGTGTAGGAGCGTCAGGGCTCATCGGTAGAGGGCTCCGCCTGTGCTTATAGAACTAGGGTTACCATATCGTAACCTTTGTTCTATCTCACACAGGGTCCGCCCTCTACTGGACTTTATGGGTACAGTGGGTGGAGCCCGATGACTATTTGCTCTACCCGCAACAAGCCAAAGTCTACCACACCAACCCGGTTGGCCACTGGCAGGGACAGAATTGTGGGTCACCCCTGAGAAGGTCGCTGGACCAATAGGCCTGGACCTGATAGGCTTGGCCTGACCATTAACACCTGGACTGCCCACTGGAACGTCAGGCACCGCCACTGTATGTTCCCCCTCTACACCCAGTAGTCACCAGGGGCCATATTACAGAAAGTTCCTAACCGGCAGATCCTATCCCAACTGCTTGGTAACCATGGTAATAAGGGTTAGGAACTGATTTAGGAAAAAGGCCATTACAGATTAACAGTTCCTAAGTCAATATTCTTTTCCTAATTTTAGATAAGAAAAGTGTATTACAGAAGAATCCTAACTTTGTAAAATCTTAAATAAACTCTCCTAACTTTAGGAGAACTGTTAAGCTGTCCTAACTTTTACTTTTCCACCAGTTAGTGTTTGCTAACTCATTTAATCCACATGGTTGCTCTTTAATTGCTTTTACAAAATCAACCAAATGTCAACGGGCGGAACTTAATTGATTCTACCGATGTGTTTGGTGACAAAACACTCGTTAGTAGAAAGGATGGATCCGTCTCCCTCTCAATGCATCAGCGCTGAAAGCCCAACCACTTAGATTTACAGCAAGACGTGGTGGAGACTGCCTGCTGCTTGGGTGGTCTATACGACCTCAGCGGATAGACCAGCCTGTGTCTGCCTCTCCCTTTCAGGAGCCAAACCTGGAGAGGCTAGTCCAACACCAGCATCGCGCATATGATGCTTCACCCTTGTGATAGAGACACCCAGACCAGAAGTACGTGTCACTTCCGACATCACTTCTACCAGAATGACGAGCAACCGTTCCCGCCTCACCAAACTGAAGGGATGAGGTGGGGTGGGGGGAACTGGTGTAGATGTCAGCCCCAGGCTCACAGCTTCCAGGTGAAGCAGTGACAGAGTACACCCTCGCCTGCAGCAAAACGTCGCAGAGAGCCACTCGTGGACGAAACAAAACTAATGGAAGCAGTGAGCGATCTCATTATCTGAAGTATATCGGGGAATGAATTTGGCCGAATAGAATCAAACATGCTAACACGTGCCGTCACACTGTTGCACTCTTGGCGTCATGTCGCTATGCCACACAGATGCAGTTCAGGCAGCTGGCTCCTGTCATCCTTCCCTCTGTCTCTGCGTGATTCACTGCAGGTAACAATGTGCAGATTGAAGCTACATGGCAAGTGCCAGATTGACGGACACACATACACACAAGTATAGATGTCTGGCTACGTGCATAGCCTACGGTGCAGCTACGCACGTAGACCCTACGCAGGAGTATAAATCAAGCTTTAGACTACAGACAGCTTTCATTTAGCTGGTTTAGCTTTGCCAAGCTAGTGTTAGTGCGGTGTGCTTTAATAACAGGATGAAAGATGTGGACAGAGTGGATCAATCAACTCCTTCTCTACGTTATGCTCGTTTAATAGATGTATCGACAAAGTTGTCTTTTACTCTTTAGGTTTTGTTGCACATTCTGCAGTAGCTTAGAGCTACTTTTACTTCATCGTGTCTCTGCGATGTGTTCTCTGTTCGTGTGCTGGTGGCGACACAGAGCTGCAGAGGTGCATCCTGATAACAAACAGTATGGTCTTCAGCCCCAGGCCCGTTTACCACCATGCTTCAGTGCCCATCTAGTATCTGATTAAACATGTAAATTGCATATGCCTGCTCTGTTCTGTACAGGGGTTCTTTACTGCAGCTCTCTGCCTCGGGTTTTCAATGTATGCACGTGGACGGGCAGGGAGGTGCTCTTCCTACCTAATGCCTTTTCCACATAGGCATGTGGAAAGGCAGAGAGGTGTCCTCCCAGAACAGAGCCATACCACCAAATTTAAATGCAATTCCGCAATATCAGTCTTTGATGAAATTTATCCTGACTGAAATAAGTGATTTCATTGAAAAACTACATAAAGCCCCTTAACTTATGTAAGTTAAGTTTTTTAACCATAACCAAGAACTTTTTCTAAACCCAACCAAGTAGTTTTGTTGCCTAAACCAAACCAAACTGCAAAATTTTATAACATTAACAACTAGTTTTATTTTGAAAGTTTTACCTGACATTGCATGTTTATTATTGCAAACCAGACTGGAAGTTGCATATTGATTATTGATAACTTGACCGTGGAGACCTACACATCCAAAAATTATACTAAACATTTACCCAGGGTGTTAAAAAGTGACACTAAGGGGTCTTGACCAAGCGTCCATATGCGACAAGTTGGGAGTAAGAATGTTTTGGCAGTGATGGAAATGGCGATCGGGAGGGTTTCCTGTGAAAAACTATTTCACAAGTTCCATTGTGGCAACAGGAAACAGCAAGAAATCATCAGTGCCCCTTTATTGCCATTAAGGGGAGGAGAGTTGCGTAGTTGCTGTAGTTGAATGAACGTACAACTTGTTTATGTTATGTAGGTTATTTTCTTTTTGTGAGATGGCTTACTGACTCATGTTCCACCATCCTCTTCCTGCAACAACTCATCTTTTGTGAGATTTCAGAGCAAGTCTTCTGTATTTGGTTAAACACAATGGTCTATCTCTTCCTCTGGATCATTTCCATGATGTTGTCATACCAAGGATTATGTTGCAGCCATAACAGCCCATTTTGCAGTCAATAAAGTTATGTGTCATTTTCAGTTATTTTGCTTGTGAGTCTAATGTAACAGTTACACCATCATTTACTTTATTTTCACAACCTGAAGGTGAAAACTATTGTTATGATCATCAGATTCTATGGCAAAAACTACTGCTGTAATATTAAAACTTGGTCAAAGGTGGTTTATCTCAAAAACTGCAATATTTTGATGTATGAAGGGATAGGCTTCTTGCAGTGGTGGATCATCCTCTAGATAAATGGCGTTAGCTGATCACATCACGTCACTTTCAGACAAGCGGTTGGCAGCTAGCTCTGTAGCTGTCAAGTGTAAACTAATAGTGGTCAGTAGTCCCAGTTAAACAATGATACAATAAACATGTCATATCATTGTTTAAAGCTTAAATATTCTGAATCCTGGCCTTCAGGATTCGCAGCTGTGAATTGATATGTACCATCAGTCTGTGAAGTTAACGTTAGCATTAGATAATTAAAATGCAGAGCTGTTATGAGTATCTTTAACAGTCATCAGTCAGACTTAAAAACCTTTATAATGCTATACATAGTATAGCAGTAATATCTAACAACCTCAAACTGCTTCCTTAGATTTTGTGTGTGTCACTTCTATGCAATCTTTCCTTTCCCCATAAAGCCATGGCGAATGATAATTAATAACTGTGCAGCTCTACTTCTGTTTAACACACACAAACTTCAAATGTAAAATGAAAGACTTCTTGTGTTCAAGATATTTTCATTAACGAAGCTCATGCAGACAGCAGCTGTTTACAACAGCAAATGTGACAATGCATACAGGTTAAATCACCTGCGTGTCCTATCAATCGGCGATAGAGTGTACAAACATAGAAAGTCATGCTGTATCAGATTGTCAAAGCATATGACATCATGAAAGGTTTGTCATATTATTTGTCAGGCCAACAACAACAAAATGTGTTCCGTTGCATTATCACAACAACACAGCCTTGTGTTTAAAGTTAGCAATAGCATCAGAAACCATCCTGGCAAATAACTTACCGTCAGCAGCAGAGGACGGCTCTCTTTGACAGCTCCCACACAGCCCAGACAGCCGATCACCATGATGATGGTCCCCACCGCAATGAGCAGGTTGGCTGCTGACAGCGAGGGAAGGGATGATGACAGGGTAGCAAAGTTTCCTTGGGTCACAGAGAGCCAAACTCCAACCCCCAGTATACCACATCCTCCCAACTACAGGGGAAACACAAAAAGACATAAAGCTGTCAGTGTGTAAACAACAAACTCATCTTAAACAGGGATACAATCAAATGTGGTGCAAAAATATGTGCGGACTTGTTGTGGCCTTCTGTTTGTTAAACTACATGCCGGAGAGGGAAAACGGAAGAAAAAATCTTAGAACAGCTGCAACAATTGGGATAACAGATAAACAGAGATAGCAGAGCAAAGCAAACTGAGTCTGCAAACAACCCAGTTGTAATGAAATGGTTCTACATTTGGGAGAAGATGCTTATTTTGCTTTTTTGCAGAGAGTTAGTGAGAAGAATTGATACCACTCAGTCCAGTAAAAATAAGGCTACCGCCTGCAATGGGTTAGCTTAGCTTAGCATAACTGTTTACTGCCAGGAAATACTCCTACTGTCAGTCACTGCGCTTTTATTTTCAAAATTAACGAGATGTAAATTCTTTATTATCGAGCTTTAGAGGTGCTGGTAGGCGGATTGTGTGACCTTTAGACAGGCTAGTTGTTTTCCTGTTTCCAGTCTTTATGCTAAGCTTACCGGCTGTAGCTACATATTTAGTGTACAGGTGTGAGAGTGGTATCAATCTTCTGATCTAACTTCTGGCAAGAAAATATTCATATTTTCAAAAAGTTGAACAATTTCTTTAAGGTCACTTTTACATCTGTAGTACAGTTCACACAGTCCTGACCAAAGAAAGAAATTATAATTAATTAATTTTAAAAACTCATTACAAACAAATCAAGAGCTGTAAACAGGAAGTCATTTAGATTGACAAGTAACTTATTCATTGGATGGTTTTGGTGACTGTCATTGTACAAATCAAATACTGGTGACTAACAGCAATAAGTACATTAATTTATTAGTTAGTCTGCTTTGCGCACCAAGTAGACATTGCACCAGAGTTTGGTTGGTAGCAAACTGAGACTTTGTTATAGTTGTTAAATGAAATGAACCAAACCAAACACACACCAGAGTTTGTGTAAACCAAACCAAACTATAACAGATTCAACCACAATACAGTACTAAGGAGTCTGATGGCAATGAAAATGGTGAAATCTGAACACTTTTTTGTATGTATATTTGTATAATATACCCTACAAAAATGGCAAGATTTTTCTTCACATTATTGCAAATTAGTATTTGTATACAGACTTTACATTTAGTTAATTTAAGATTTTAGTCAATTATTTTGGTTCAGTCACAATTTCCCTTTATTAGACAGCTGACTGTAGAGGGTGACAGAAACTAATTCATTCATACTCTCTCCTACAAAATGCATGTATATGTTACTATACTGCTAAAATTTTACTAGGTTTTCCCAAATATGCTTGGCTGCCAAGCATAATCACTGTCTGGGTAATGTTCACAGGCAACATTTTTATGAGTGAACGAACCGCTACATTTATTTTTTACAACACTGAAGCCACAGGAAGGTGGTCAGGGTAGGTGGTAGACGTACAAAGCACAGACTTAGACTCGCTCAGTCACAGCTGTAGTCAGGTTTAGGCAACAAAAGCACTTTGGTTATAGTTAGGGAAAGATTGTGGTTTTTGTTAAATGTTGATAATCTTGTTGCGTTAAGTGATTCAAGTCACTGCTGACTTTTTATCTTAAACTAAGATCATTCTGTAACCATAACTGAGTGCTGCAAGTGTCCAAACATAAGTAGTAGTCACTACCTGCTAATATTGTATTGTAAGATCGAATATTTTAAACAAATGAAATACCATGTGAAATAACATTTTACTGATATGTTAAGTATGAAGATTTTTGCGGCTTGCCAGATACATTAATTAACAACATATCCTCATTATCTTGATAGTTACCATACCTTTAAAATGTATTTGCTGTTACACTGTATATAAGCGGGATTTCTAGGAGACATGGTTGGCCCTCTACAACCCTGAGTAAGTCTAATTTTCATAATAATCCACATGGTCGGTAATTCTTTGAACATTTCAAAGAAAGAAAGTATGAATTTTCATTAAACATTCTGAATTGTGATATTAGACTAATTATCACCTCCTCTAAAGAGGTTAGGCTTTTCATATATGAGATCAATTACAGTCAGTTGGGAAGAGTGCTGCACTGGGAGGAAATCTACACTCTTTCCAAGAGTCCAAAGCCAGTGTCTGATTCTTATGTGATCTTAGGTGAGAACAACTGCATGTTTGCCTTCAGTGGTACATAATGATAGTCAGGGGGGAATATAAGATGCACATCAGTAAGGATTTGGAAATGGATCTAGTAAACATCCATAATCCACACACGCATTAAAGCCACTTGCCAAGACCCCCACAGGCAATAAGATTTACATGGCTAGATACACGATTATTGCCCCCACCCCCCTCCCCAACTTTTCTCTCTATTTCCGGCTTTAACACAAGATCTTATTTAATGAGCATTTGAGCTAAAAGTAGGCCAAGGCGGAAATAAAAAGCACTCATGTGGGGCTCTGTTCACTGAGGCAGGTTTTTATTCACCAACACAGCTGGGAGATTTCAGCAGCTTGCAAAAAGGGTCTTTGGGTCACTGTCACTCAAAACGGACCTTTATTATGCCCCAGAGTGTATTCTCTAATGAAGAGTGGCCACAGCGAGAAGGGTGAAGGATGAAAAGGAACTCTGGGAATTGATGGTGAACATTTTCAGGTCAGATTATTATGCTCATTGGAGGGGGGTATCACAACATGGGTGCAGTTTACATTCTACAGACATGCTGGGCATCTGCGTCAAACCAAGTCCTCCTCAAAAACTACAAGACATAATTTTCCCTTATTATACAGCTATATATAGCCATATATAGCAGTAAGCAAATTAATTAATTGATTGAACAATTCTTTGCTGGCTTCATCCATCTGTTAAAGTTAATGGTTTTTGTCAACAAGAGCCACAGTTGCACGATATTTGACATGTGGTATGCAAGAGGCAGCGGTGAGTACAAAGACACTTGAAGCAAGGAGGCCGTCAACATCAGTTAAATCATATTATGTTATTGAAGCCTAATGACCATTGTGGCTGTTGTTTGTATACTTGTTAGGGATGGGTATTGTTACTCGATACCTTTATGGTATCGACCGAAACAGCCCAGTATCGAGTAGAATTGAAATGTCTCCAGTCAAACCAGTACTTCAATCAATACTTTTTGGTACCAGATTGTGGCAAAAAAATACTATTTGTATGGTTTTTTTGCAGCCAAAAATCAAAACAACACACTGAAAGAAAGAGAAAAGCACACCTTTTTTCCCCTTTTGTGATTGCACCATAAACTGCATAAAAATAGGCCTGTGTGATTATAACAGCCCCTCCACCTTTGGCTGCGGTCACAGGCATGTTCGTCACTGGCTTTCCGTTGGTTTCATCTTCTGGTATCATTTAACACTTCTCTGTACGTTTTTATTTGTTATTCACAACACTTCTCACTAATCGATCACTGCGTTCTATCACATTAATTAAACGTTTTTGTGGCGCAGCAGCAATCAGTTGATTTCACTCACAGAGCCTTGATTTGATCGCCTGAACGTGTAGCCTCTCTTTTCCTCTGTTTGTGAGTCTTTAGTGTAGTTAAGTGACTTGTTTAAACAGACTCCTTTCTCGTTTTAAACTTGTGTCGTTTTTGGAGGAGGTTTGCGACTCACCAATAAAGGGAAAAGCACTCACGGTAATTTTTCAATTCAGTTTATTGATCGATAGTTAACAAAATAAGTTTCTGTTGTTTACTTTCAACCCACGTATCAAAAAATTTACTTAAAATTGTTTCCCACAACTTTTTTGGTCACTAAACTATTCCACTCCTCCACTGTCATTCAAATATAAAAAAATTTGCAAGCTGTGGTCTTTCCCGGTATAATAGCTACTACCCGTGAGGATAAACAACTTAGGATGAAGAGGGATCTGATACAATTTCCCAATACTTTTATGTAGCCTATTTGAAACAAGAAAATAAATAAATTATATAACCTTGCTAGTCCATAACATCGATAAAAATAATAATTGGCTACCAATCAACTACTATGGCTTCAACAGGTGGCATTTTATGCAAGGTATCAAATAAAGTAGTCTACTGGTATCGATATCACTTTAAGGGAACTAGTTTTGGTACTGGTAATGAAAAAATTTTAATGATACCCAACCCTAATACTTGTAAATACAACTTACAACATTTCCATATTTTTCTTCTCCATGTTGAACCCACCTTCTGACTGGAGTTAAATCAACAAATCACCTTGCTTGACAAGCAAATCCACACAACACCTTGTTGAGATATGGGAGGTGTGTGTGATCTATGGTTACGCATATTCCCCTTCTCTGTATGGATTTGCAGATATTTATGTGTCTTTGGAGAAGTCCAGCATCATAAGTGAATTACCTAATAACATTTCTGATCCCCTTTCATAGTATATTCAAATTCTGTGACCTATTTTATGAAGTCCAATTGTAATTTAATTTGCTCATATGCTGTATGTGAAAAAAATCAAAAATATTCATATATGTTTGGTTATTATCTTATTATGGTGATAACATGGTTGTATGAGACTATTTTTAACCTCTCTTGAACCGAAAGGGTAAACTCTTTTTTTATACACTGATCATATATGATAAGCAACCTTAGCAACTTAAAATCAACCCATTCTTTGTTTTTGTTTTTTATGGTTTATGAAACTGACCACATAAAGCGCTTTACAACACGTCACATTCACACACACATTCATACAGTGGATGCTGCCATACAAGAGGATGTTTTCCAAATTCCATCATTCATTGATTCATAATGATTCTCACATGATGAGCTCACCCATACATTCACACATTGACAGCACAGCAATTTTGGGTTCAGAATCTTGCCCAAGGATACTACAACCACCTGAGCCACAGCCCCATTTCATGCATATTTGTGCTGCTGCATTAATATGATGCATTCAGTTCAGACTTGTGTCTTGTTTGAAGTTTTATAGAAATGTTATGAGGTCCGACTTAGTAAAACTGCTTT